CACGATTGAAATCAAATTCAACAATGAAGAAGGCTAAGCATCTTTAACCATGTGTAACTTTCACATTTGTGACATTTCACAAATAATATTATTCACATCAAATAATAAGGTACATTTCACCTTATTCACCATATTCACTTTAAATGAATTAATCAACCATCAGTTGAAAAGTTGTGTTTGCAAACAATACAACCTTTCAAGATGACATACATTTTAAAATTATTCCTAGAATATTTCATAAAAATCTTCACAATTTTTTCATAACATAATTTTTATCCTTTACAAATGAATGTTATTTTACAATCATTATTTTTAAGGATTTTCGGCACCATAGCTAACTATAGACACCATTTGTGCTCTATAAAATATTTTCATATCCCAATAATTGGGCAATCAATTTTCACTTTAAAATGATTAGGACAAAACCACATTTTGTCACTCTTCTGCAACTATAATTTTGCACAAGTCACCTCATTTAATTTCATAGAAATAATTGAGGCCATCATCATTAATCAAGTTTTGTATAATTTTCAAACCAAAATCCATAGACATATACCAGATTTACAACTTCATACCGTATATGTCACTTACCGGATTACGCATACCGTATATGTAACTTACCGTATATGCAACTTACCGTATATGTCACTTACCGTATTTGCTGCTTATCGTATTTGCAGTTTACCATATTTACACCAGCATGCCATATATTCAGCTTATATGCAACTTACAATATATACTGGATTTGCATATATAGACCAAAAAATCTATCCAAAATCCAAACCATTATATAGATTCACCAAATGAATTCACTATTTGGAATTTACATTTATACAAATGACACTATAATGTCACATTCAATAGCCGCTTTCTTTGATTGTCATATAAACATCCAACAAAGTTGCCTATCCAACCGTAGGAACATAGATTTCCTCCATGCATATTTGTATAATCATTCCAAACAAGGCGCATACCATTATAACTTCCTAGAACTTCCCTCAACATCCTATAACTATAGGAGAAAGAAACTACAGGTGAAAATAAATAGAATTTCATACACAAACATGCACCAAAAGTTGAACTTGAATCACAGAAATAGAACCCTTTACATTTTGATTGAGTTTTAGCCCATTGTAATACAACAAATTGCATATTTGGAGCAAAACAACCACAAAATAAATTGACTATTTTAATTCAAAGAATGAAATTTTTGAACGGTAAATTCCATTATTGTATGTATAATTTGTTGAATTGGTATCAGAGCCTATTAGATCTTTCAATGCCAAAGTGTGTTGTGAGTTATGTAATTTTGACTTTTGAGTGATTTTTGGTAGCATGGACCTACCATGATGCAGAATACATATTGGCTAACTCAGTATACAGCATCACAATAATTTTCCAAGACTTGCTACAGCTATTCTCGTACCACTAATGGTATCGATGTCCTACATAACTATAGCTATTTAGTACAATGAATTTACAGAAGACTTGTTACCTATCAGCTTCATGAAAGGCCAGTTCAACCATGATTCCATGGATGTATCATACATGGCAAACTAAAAAGGTTAGATCTCCACCGAGTTACTCATATTCTTTATATCAATTCAGCAGGGGACTGAAAAAGATTGTAGTCAGATTGATAATGATCGAGTGACATTGCTTCTTTGGTCTGAACTGATGATATCGAGCCCAAAAACAATTCCAACAATGAATTATCAACATTCTTTATTTCACTTTACCTAATTCACTTGCTTAATCACAGACTCGTTGATGAAAAACTTAATGGTGGATAGGAGATCAAGTAATTCAATCACGATCTATCCACCACTGCATCTGTTCTTTTTTATCTGAGACCAAGAAAGGAGAAACCAAAAAAGAAAAACTCTTTCAGAGAGCAACACATTAAGTATGAATAAGTCCAATGCATCTTTCTACTCCAGAAGATTCATGCAAAGGATTTTTTTTTCTCTTTTACAAGTTGCACAAGTTATAACTGTTGACCCCAAAAAGTGCGCCAACAGATGCCGGTCCCACCCGCGCTTGCGTGGGCGAATGTCCAACACGCTAAGACACGTGAACGGTCTAAAACGAGCGGTTCAAAGAGGCGTGGGAGTAGCCCAACGACGCGGGACGGTGACGTTCGGAATCTGACGGGTTGTTCGTAATCCGATTGTACAATAATTACCAACCGGTACTCGTTAATGTATATGTGAAAGTGTATAAACTCGATTTGTGTATTGCAAGTAACTGAGAGAGAGTTGAGTAAATGTAGTTTTTAGTGTTGATTCTTGCATTAGTCTTTGACATTACACAATGGGAGTATTTATAGTGATACATATCAAATGGGAGCCCTTGGATGAAGTGGTACGTGGCCTCATCTCTTTAGTTCAAGCGTCTATTCTTAGGTATGGGACTTGACTTGCGAGCTTACGGCGCATTTATTGCTTGCGCAGGTCCTTTATACCAGTGATAAGACTTGACCTTTATGCTTGTAACAAACGTTCCATCAGTCATTCGAATAAGATCTCTGAGCAGGCGATCTCTTAGGATAAGTGACAGTGGAAGGAGCTCCTTATGGTTAAGAGGCTCGTGCAGCGGCTTCGGGGCTTCGACCATTTGACAAATACTTCCACCTGAGGACCTCAGCTAAATTCAGGTTCCAGCTTTCGGGGTCGTGGGGCTCGGTAGTTGGACTTCGACAGATGGACCTCGGCTTGAAGCACTTCGGATATAACCCACCTCGGCAATGTGTGCCACCTCGGCAGGAATGCCACGTGGATCAGGATGAGTGGGCCATTGGCCCAGGTGGGTAGGACAGGTGTGACAACACGCAATAATAGTCCCCCAAGTCCAAGTATAATCATTAATGTAATGCGTGGACTTTAATGGAGTAAAAGTTGAAAGAATTTTTGAACCCCAAATAATAGTCCCCCAAGTCCAAGTATAGATATTTATATCATGGTTGGGGTTTGAGAAGTGTTGCCATGGATGACTGATGAAGAAGCCGAGGTGGTTGAATAAACCGAACCTGCGAGGCTTGATTGCTGAATGACGAGGAGAAGCCGAGGTAGTTCAGGAACCGAACCTGCGAGGCTTTAATGCTGAATGGCGAGGAGGAAGCCGAGGTGGTTCAGGAACCGAACCTGCGAGGCTTTGATGCTGAATGGCGAGGAGGAAGCTGAGGTGGTTGAGGAAACCGGACCTGCGAGGCTTTGATGCTGAATGGCGAGGAGAGAAGCCGAGGTGGTTGAGGAAACCGGATCTGCGAGGCTTTGATGCTGAATGGCGAGGAGAGAAGCCGAGGTGGTTGAGGAAATCGAACCTGCGAGGCTTGCCGAGGTCTGATGGTAATGATTGTGCGTTGGTTGCTGTGCCAATGATTTGATGTTTTGTGCTTGTTTTCGAGGAAAGGTAGCTGAACCATTACGACTTTCAAGGCGCTGTTGTCGTCGAATTAAAAATGCAATTATGAGAGCAGCTGGCGTTTCTAGAAGCAGACGCGTTGGAGAGGTGCGTGGGAGGCACGCATAAATCGGAGGCGTAGGATTTAAAAACTGTTTGAATTCAACGCCTCGGATTGGATCTGAAATGGAGGGCTCGAATTGACTGAGATTTGATCTGATGACTGGGGTTCGTCTTGGACCTTTATAAAAGGCGAGAAAATCCCAATTTTAAGGATTTTTGAACACTTTGCACTCTGAAACTCTCTCAAATCTCCAATTTTTCGGCGTCGAAGTTGTCTGTGATATTAAATTTCGACCAGTCTCCGTTTGTGTCGAACTTGTTTAGGTATTGTTTGCATAAAAAACCCTTGTTACTGTCTTTGTACTGAAAAAATGAAGTCCACTTCGGGTAGGGAGCTTGTTACAGTGGCGTCTTTAGACTATGGGGTCGGTCATGGGGGGATGTCCGAGGTGGATAGGTATGCCATGGCCAAGGAGGCTGTAGATTATACCCAGGAGTGGGGGGCTTCTAGAGTGCCCTCGAATATGACGGGGAAGAGGTTGAGAGAACTTAGGGAGAGGTACAGTGTGCCCCATAACATAGAGATGTTAGTCCCCGAGCCGAATGAGCGGGCCTGCTATCCGAGGCCCGGCTGCATGGCCGTGAGTGAATACCTGTTTAGGGCAGGTATGCGTCTTCCTCTGTACCCATTCTTTAGGGCGGTGCTTAGGAAATTTATGCTGTCGCCGACCCAGGTTCTGCCGAATGGGTGGAGCCAGCTGGTCGGCTCGTACTTCCTGTCGAAGGAAGTGTCACTTGGGGAGGACATGCCTCTTCATGTCTTCATGACCCTGTTCCAGCCCCGGGTAATTGGGAAGGAGTCAAGGGGGTGGTACTACCTCACGCCTTGGGGGGCTCACGCACCCTTTGTGGTGGGACTTCCTTCGTTTATCAAGGGGTGGAAGGAATCCTGGTTCTGGGTGCGAGGTAAATGGCAGGCAGTGGAGGGTGACAAAGCCCTGTCATGCACAGTGCCGACCCAGTACTACGAAACTCGTGAGTCTCCCGACCTCTGCTAGTCTTTTGAAGTCAGAATATGAATTCGTCTAACTGTTGGAGGTTCCTTTGCAGATAGTAGTATGAGGTTCGAGCTCAGTAGGGAGGAATTCGAGGTGATAGAGGACATTTACACGAGGCCTCTGAACATATTGTGTAGACAAATTCAAGAAGAGGGAGTACCCAGCTCCGGACATGGCCTCTATCTTGAAGGCCACTTCTACTGCGAAGACGAGGCCCCTGAAGCCTGGGTCCAGTGGGGCAAAGGAAGTTCGAAGCAGGGTTGAGCAGCTCGTGAGTCTCCCGACCTCTGCTAGTCTTTTGAAGTCAGAATATGAATTCGTCTAACTGTTGGAGGTTCCTTTGCAGATAGTAGTATGAGGTTCGAGCTCAGTAGGGAGGAATTCGAGGTGATAGAGGACATTTACACGAGGCCTCTGAAGCTTCAGCACTTCGATCACCTGATTGATAGAAACAGATACTTTTTGGACTTCGAGCTGATGGCATCCAGAGGTATGAGGCCCCAACACTTGATCCCTTGTTTTTATCCTTATTGTTTCTTATGCTGATACTGATCTGACATATTGTGTAGACAAATTCAAGAAGAGGGAGTACCCAGCTCCGGACATGGCCTCTATCTTGAAGGCCACTTCTACTGCGAAGGCGAGGCCCCTGAAGCCTGGGTCCAGTGGGGCAAAGGAAGTTCGAAGCAGGGTTGAGCACCTGTCCAAGGACTGCACTCCCAGGGCCTCGGAGGAGGCAACTACTCAGAGGCCAGAGAAGCCTGAGGAGCCTCGGGGCAAGGAGAAAGTCTCTGAGGAGACTAAGAAGAGGAAGCTGGTGCACATTTCCAGCTCAGCTGGCAAGTTTGGGACCTCAGTGTCCCATAGGGCTGAACAGACTGGAGAGCCGAAACTTCTTGCTGCAGCCTCTAAAGCCATCAAAATGGAGATGGTAAGAGAGGTAGAGGCTGAAGAGGCCAGAGAAGAGGCTGCAAGGCGAGCTGCAGAAGCCGCCGAAGAGGAGGCGGCAAAGGAGAAGCCGGTTCGGGAGAAGGGGAAGTCTCCAAACTTCCTAGCTGGGAGGGAGGAGGAGCTGGCCCCAGCCTTGGTGGAGGCTCTCCCTGAGGAAATCAGAAGTGCCACCGAGAGCTTTTACAAGTTCTGGACAGAGAGGTGGTAGCTACATGCCTCGTCTTGTGATGCCACCGACCTCACAAGGGCACTGGTGAGCCAAAGCGCCCGGACCTTTGGCCTCGCGCTCGAATGCAGGGAGGCCTTAAGCGAATTCCAGACAAGGACCCATGCCTCGGAGGGGAAAGCTGCCTCCTTTGCAGAGGAGGTTAAAGCTACTAAGGCCGAGGCCGAAGAAGCCAAATCCCAGAAAGTTGAAGAGGCGATGAAGCTGGAGTCTGCTTTGGCCCAAATCGAGGCCCTGAAGAAGGATGTGTATGAGTCATAGTGCGAGGTGGCCTCCTTAACAAAGAAGGTGGAGGTCTCCAATGAGCACCAAAAGGTGACTACTGAGGCCCTTGAGAAGGCGAACCTCTCCTTGGCCGGTGCTCGAGATGCTTATCAGTTTCTTGAAGGCCAGGCGAGTGAGCCAAAGCGCCCGGACCTTTGGCCTCGCGCTCGAATGCAGGGAGGCCTTAAGCGAATTCCAGACAAGGACCCATGCCTCGGAGGGGAAAGCTGCCTCCCTTGCAGAGGAGGTTAAAGCTACTAAGGCCGAGGCCGAAGAAGCCAAATCCCAGAAAGTTGAAGAGGCGATGAAGCTGGAGTCTGCTTTGGCCCAAATCGAGGCCCTGAAGAAGGATGTGTATGAGTCACAGTGCGAGGTGGCCTCCTTGACAAAGAAGGTGGAGGTCTCCAATGAGCACCAAAAGGTGACTGCTGAGGCCCTTGAGAAGGCGAATCTCTCCTTGGCCGGTGCTCGAGATGCTTATCAGTTTCTTGAAGGCCAGGCGAAGTGGTACATGAACGACGCCTCTGTTGCCAGAGAAGAGGCCCGAACTGCAGGGGAAGAGGCGGTGAAGGAATACATCGCCAATTTCCACACTACAGAGGAGTATAAAAGCTTCAGCGCGTACTGGAGGAACTTCGCCTATGCCGAAGTACTGGAGAGGGCAGAGGAGCTCTATCCTAACTTGGACCTGGCTCAACTTAGGTCCGAATTTGTGGATGAGGTACCTCAGACCCCAGCTGAGGAGGTCCAGGGTGATGAAGAAGTTGATGCCGAGACCCCTAGTGCTGAGGCAGAAAAAACAACTACTGATGCCCAAGTTGCTGAAGGCCCCAGTGCCGAGGCTCCTCCGTCATCTAGCCAGGCATAGACTAGGTTTTATTTTTCAGTAATTTGGATGTAATGGCCAGAGGCCCTCCTTTGTAACCTGCTTTGAAATATCAATACAATGTCTTTCTTCTTTCATTGTTGCTTTTTGTCCAAGTTTTTATACCTCGTTTAAACAAATTTATTGGAACTTGATAGAAGCATGAGCTAAATAAATGAACATAACTTGAGTGACTAAACTGTACGACCCTCGGACTTAAGCAAATTAACCTAAGGAGATGGACAGTGTGAACCTCGGACTGAAGCCTGTAAACATGACTTAAGGAGATGAACTGTACGAACCTCGGACTTAAGCAAATTAACATAACTTAAGGAGATGAACAGTGTGAACCTCGGACTGAAGCACATAAACATGACTTAAGGAGATGAACCGTAAGAACCTCGGACTTAAGCAAATTAACATAACTTAAGGAGATGAACAGTGTGAACCTCGGACTGAAGCACATAAACATGACCTAAGGAAATCGGACTTAATCTAACAGTGTGAGCCTCGGATTTAGGGTTGTGGCTTCTCCCCTTAGCGTTCAGCAAGGCCAAAGGGAGGCATGTGCTAGCGCCTCGGAGTTCAAGCGAGGTGGCCTAGAGGTGGGTCCCGAGCCTCTCCTCCAAGGTGACGACGCATCCCAGACATGGTGGATGGTGCAGCCATGTTGATGCTTCTCCCCTTGGCGTTCAGCAAGGCCAAAGGGAGGCGTGTGCTAGCGCCTCGGAGTTCAAGCGAGGTGGCCCAGAGGTGGGTCCCGAGCCTCTCCTCCGAGGTGAAGACGCATCCCAGACATAGTGGATGGTGCAGCCATGTTGAGGCTTCTCCCCTTGGCGTTAAGCAAGGCCAAAGGAAGGCGTGTGCTAGCGCCTCGGAGTTCAAGCGAGGTGGCCCAGAGGTGGGTCCCGAGCCTCTCCTCCGAGGTGACGACGCATCCCAGACATGGTGGATGGTACAGCCATGTTGAGGCTTCTTCCCTTTGCGTTCAGCAAGGCTAAAGGGAGGCATGTGCTAGCGCCTCGAAGTTTAAGCGAGGTGGCCCAGAGGTGGGTCCCGAGCCTCTCCTCCGAGGTGACGACGCATCCCAGATATGGTGGATGGTGCAGCCATGTTGAGGCTTCTCCCCTTGGTGTTCAGCAAGACCAAAGGGAGGCATGTGCTAGCGCCTCGGATTTCAAGCCAGGTGGCCCGGAGGTGGGTCCCGAGTCTCTCCTCCGAGGTGACGACGCATCCCAGACGGTTTTAATCAATACATTTTATTGAGTCATAGAAATATTACAAAGGCTGGGAAAGTCATCCAGCATGATACAATTCATTGATAAAAGATTCTGAGGTGTTCGATGTTTCATGGACGGGGCTGTGCCTTGCCGTCCATGTCTTCAATCCAATAGGTTCCAGGTTGGATTTCTTCTATGATTTTGTATGGACCTTCCCAGTTCGGCCCCAGGGAATTGGAACAGGTTCTTTTGAAGATGGGAAGACCCTCCTGAGCACAAGATCGTTGATTCGGAACGACTTCTTCTTGACTTTGGAGTTGAGGTACCTTGTCATCTTTCTTTGATAGGTGCCTAGTCTCAGCTGGGAGCCATCCCTTCTCTTCTCAATGAAATCGAGGTCGAGCCTCCGGAGCTCGTCGTTGGTCACTTCGCTGAAGTGCAGACGACGTGGAGATGGGAGTCCGACCTCCACGGGACTCATTGCCTCAGTCCCAAAAGCCATGAGAAAAGGGGTCTCCCTAGTTGGGGTCCTGGTGGTGGTTCGAATTGCCCAAAGTACTTGGGGCAGCTCATCAACCCAAGCTCCCTTAGATACATCAAGCTTCCTTCTCAGGACGTGCTTGATTATCTTGTTTACGGCCTCAACTTGGCCATTAGCTTGTGGGTGGTGAGGTGTAGAGAAGTGCTTCTTTATGCCAAGGTCTTCACACAGTTCTCTAACCTTCCTGTCATCGAATTGCCTGCCATTGTCTGAGACGATCGAGTAGGGAATTCCGAACCGGCAAATAATATTCTTCCATAGGAACTTGGAGGTGTTTGCTTCTGTGATTTTTGCTAGTGGTTCAGCTTCGACCCACTTTGTGAAGTAATCAATGGCCACTATTGCAAAACTTGCACCTCCTCTACCCTTAGGTAGAGGGCCTATGAGGTCCACACCCCACTTTGAGAAAGGCCAGGGGCTGGAAACTGTAGTCAAATCCTGTGATGGTCGTCTTTGTACGGGAGAGAATCGTTGGCACTTATCACATTTTCGCACGAATTCGAGGGCGTCCCGTTTCAGGGTAGGCCAGTAGTACCCTTGCCTCAGTATTTTTTGTGCCAGAGATAGGCCTCCAGAGTGGTTGCCGCACACTCCCTCGTGGACTTCTCTTAGTATGTAGGTAGCCTCTTCTCCTCCGACGCATCGTAAGAGTGGAGAGGAGAAACTTCTCTTGTAGAGAATGTCATCGATGAAGAGGAAGTGGGCTGACCTCCTTCTCAGCTTATAAGCCTCATTCTTGTTGGTGGGCAGTACCTGGTCTTTCAGATATGCTATGATCTAGGTTGACGAATTCAGCAACAAAGTCAACTAAGGCTTGCCCTTTGATGGCTGCCCTAGCTTTGAACACAAGGTCAAATTCACTTAGTTCCACTGCCCATTTCAACAATCTTCCCGAGGCATCGGGCTTTTGGAGAACTTATCTTAGGGGAAAATTTGTAAGTACATGGATGGTATGAGCTTGGAAGTAGTGTCTCAACTTCCTAGAGGCCGTGATTAAGGCCAAAGCAAGCTTCTCCATATCGGGGATATCGGGTCTCCGACGATAGGAGCGCTTTACTCGTATAGTAGACGGGAAGTTGGGTGGACCCTTCTTCTCGAATCAGAACTGAACTGATGGCGTCATTGGAAACGGCAAGATATGGTTGCAAGATGTTACCGGGCTTCGGCTTGGAGAGGAGGGGGGGCCTGCCCCAAATGCCTTTTCAGTCCTTGGAAGGCCTCTTCACATTCCTCAGTCCATTGGAATTTCTTCTCAGCCTTGAGCACTTTGAAAAATGGGAGGCACTTGTCAGTCGCTTTGGAGACAAAGCGACTAAGTGCTGTCACTCGTCCAGTTAAGCTTTGTACCTCCTTTGGCTTTTGAGGGGACCTCATCTGGCACAGAGCCTCAATCTTCTCGGGATTTGCTTCAATTCCTCGCTGGTTCACCATGTACCCCAAGAACTTACCGGAAGCCACCCCAAAGGCACATTTCAAGGGGTTGAGCCTCATCCTATACCTTCTCAGGATTTGGAAGGTGTTGTTGAGGTGCGCTATGTGGTTCTCCGCTTCTAAGCTCTTCACCAGCATGTCATCCACGTAGACCTCCATTGTCTTGCCAATGAGGTCGGTAAACATTTTGTTCACGAGTCTTTGGTAGGTTGCTCCGATTCTGTAGCAATAGAGGCCTCGGTCTGTGATGAAAGAGGTGTGTTCTTCATCGGCCGGGTGCATGGGGATCTGGTTGTAGCTGAAGTATGCATCCATAAAGCTCAACAACTCGTGCCCAGCCGTGGAGTCCACCAATTGGTCAATTCTTGGAAGCGAAAATCTGTCT